AAGAAAGAAAGAAAGAAAGAAAGAAAGAAAAAATAGTTTTTTTTTTTTTTTTAATGTAGCATAGGGAGAATGGAGGGGATTTTGTCTGCCATTTGGGCCAGCGCTTGCCAAGGATCACCCTGCAGGAACAGGAGCCCAATCCTCCCAGCCAACTGCCCCTGCCTCCTCCCAGGTGACGAATGTGCTCTACTTAGAGAGGAGCTCCAGCACCATCCCTGCAGGAGACTCACTCGTGCGCCATGCCAAGGGCCTGGACCAGGACACCTTCAAAATTGTGAGTGAGGACCAGCCTGGAACACGCCCCCTCTCGCCCCCCGCAGCCCCTCATGTGCCATGAGTCAAGAGATCTGATCAGGAAATGATGGGCCTCAGACCCACAGCGCGCTTGTCATACTGCCCCACCTGTCACACTTTTGGAAGGGAAGTGGGGTGACAGGCACTTCCTCACTAAACACACACACCCCTCCCTGGGTCGGTAGGGGCTGCAGCCAGGCCAACCCGCTGGTTCCTCTGGGCAGCTCAGCTGCCTCTTTTCACCTCTCCTGTTGCTCCTCAGTGTAAGGAATATTTAAGACCGCTGAAGAAGTTCCTGCGCAAGCTGTGCCCGCCCAGGGACCTTCCCCAGAGGAAGAAGCTAAAGTACATGAAGCAGAGTCTGGTGGTCCTGGGGGACCACATCAACACCTTTCTCCAGCATTACTGCAGAGCCTGGGAAATCAAGCACTGGAGAAAGTAGGGCGGCCTCCTCACTCTCCCCCCACACCCATTCCTGGGCCACCGCCTCTCCATTCAAGGCCACACCCTAGTCAAGATTCTGCAGTCTTTGGGACCAGCAGTTAGCGTAATGGCTACGTCGCTGGACTCCCATGTAGTCGACTGCGGTTCGCATCCCGGACCCGGTGGCTTAAAACTCACGCCGGGCGCGTGTGCGTGCGTGCCCAAGATCCCGAGAGGAGAATGAAGGAGAAGGGATTGCGGCGTGCCCATCCCCCCGGGGGGTGATTTCTCGCTTTCTGTCTCTCTGTCTCTCTCTGTCTGTCTGGTGAGTGCATGCGCCCTATAGCAAAAACCTCTTCAAAAAAAAAAAAGATTCTGCAGTCTTTGGGACCAGCAGTTAGCGTAATGGCTACGTCGCTGGACTCCCATGTAGTCGACTGCGGTTCGCATCCCGGACCCGGTGGCTTAAAACTCACGCCGGGCGCGTGTGCGTGCGTGCCCAAGATCCCGAGAGGAGAATGAAGGAGAAGGGATTGCGGCGTGCCCATCCCCCCGGGGGGTGATTTCTCGCTTTCTGTCTCTCTGTCTCTCTCTGTCTGTCTGGTGAGTGCATGCGCCCTATAGCAAAAACCTCTTCAAAAAAAAAAAAGATTCTGCAGTCTTTGGGACCAGCAGTTAGCGTAATGGCTACGTCGCTGGACTCCCATGTAGTCGACTGCGGTTCGCATCCCGGACCCGGTGGCTTAAAACTCACGCCGGGCGCGTGTGCGTGCGTGCCCAAGATCCCGAGAGGAGAATGAAGGAGAAGGGATTGCGGCGTGCCCATCCCCCCGGGGGGTGATTTCTCGCTTTCTGTCTCTCTGTCTCTCTCTGTCTGTCTGGTGAGTGCATGCGCCCTATAGCAAAAACCTCTTCAAAAAAAAAAAAGATTCTGCAGTCTTTGGGACCAGCAGTTAGCGTAATGGCTACGTCGCTGGACTCCCATGTAGTCGACTGCGGTTCGCATCCCGGACCCGGTGGCTTAAAACTCACGCCGGGCGCGTGTGCGTGCGTGCCCAAGATCCCGAGAGGAGAATGAAGGAGAAGGGATTGCGGCGTGCCCATCCCCCCGGGGGGTGATTTCTCGCTTTCTGTCTCTCTGTCTCTCTCTGTCTGTCTGGTGAGTGCATGCGCCCTATAGCAAAAACCTCTTCAAAAAAAAAAAAAAAGATTCTGCAGTCTTTCATCTTTACATGGAAGAGTCAGGATCCTAGAAGGGGTGGGGGTAGGGAGAACAGGGTTGCCTTGTCACTCACAGAAAGACCAATTGCCCCTTGGCAGTTCACACAGTGGGCAAAGCCTCTCCTGACCCCGAGGAGAATGACCTCTGATGAGACAAGTAGTGTGTACGAGGCTCCTCCCCAGGCCAAAATATCCACCCTCTGACAGAGCCTGCCTCTGCTCCTGACCCCAAACTGAGGAAGCAGCGGGTGGTCTGCTTCTCCCAGAGTGGGACCTGGTCACAAGTCAAGGCTGCTGGGAGAAAGGGCTGTGCTCCGCCTCCCTCAGCTCTGGTCTCTCCCCACAGGATGCTCTGGAGATTTGTCTCCCTCTTCTCAGAACTGGAACCGAAGCAGCTTCGCCGGCTCTACAAGTACTCCAAGAACAACCAGACAGCCAAGTTCCTGGTGAGTAGTCAGGGAGACTCCCGGCTCTGCTGGGAACTAGTTGGTGTGGTCCTGGAGCACCAGGAGCAGCAGGGGACTGAGTGGCCCTCTGATACACGCAGAGCCCTCTTTGGGTCCTTTCCACAACTCCTTGCCTAAAGGGGCTGTACTGCCCCTACCTTTACCCTGCACTGGGCACAGGGTGGGGCTGGAGAGGGCAGAGGCTCCATATCCAGTTCTCAGCTTTTCTTCACCCTTTACGCCCACACCCTGATGTTAGCAGAGTCAGGGGCTCATGGAGGAGCCATGAGCGGGGGCAGTTGAGGCCAGGCAGAAAGTCCAGTTGGGGAAGTGTTCCAGGATTGTGAACAGAGCCAGAAATAGTGGTTCTCAAGCATCGTAGTCCCGAGCCACATTTACCCTCTTAAAATCACTGAGGGCCCAGGCTCTGTGGTGCAGTCAGTGGCATACTGGATTGTGGAGCTAGAAGCCACATGTGGAATGTGGTTCCAGTCTCTGGCCTGATTAGCCTGAAAACATGCCAGTGCGTGTGTGTGTGCCCAGGACCCTGGCAGGCTGGAGGAGTGAAGGAAGGAGATCACGGCATGACGGAGCGCTCTGAACGGTGCTTCTCTCTCTCATGCACATGCAAGTGCGCTGTCATGAGTAAAAGAAAAAAAAAAAGGAATTCCAAGAAGTTTTTTTTTCTTAGATTAGGAAAAAATTTTTGCTATAGGGTGCGTGCGCTCACCAGACAGACAGAGAGAGACATAGAGACAGAAAGCGAGAAATCACCCCCCAGGGGGTATGGCCACGCCACAATCCCTTCTCCTCCATTCTCCTCT